GATTAGGGAACGCTTTTAGTCACTCTTAAGTCCTGTTGAAACTTCCTCCCAAAGTTATCTCCCTGCAGCATCTCATTACTGAACCAATCTTTCTCTAGATAAACTGTGGCAAAGAAGCTTTTAAGTTTCTGTAAATGTTCTCAGAATTGCTACTGAGAACATTTGTTAAAAGTTGTCCGAAACTTTGAATAGTCTCAGACAAGAATGATTCAATGACTCCTGTTTTCTAAGTACACTAAGTACACCCACTTCCTGTTGAAATCGGCATTTAGTTTCTCATTCTCTCAGATCATAATATCTTTTACTTCCTGCACTGATAAGAAAAGATCAGAGGCTTTCAGGATGTTCCCCTTAGACGGCGGAATGACATTCCACTATTGAGCTTGGCTGATGTATTACTATTATCCTCTCTATTTAGCAAAACATTATTCTTTGAAGACTTACTTTGAAAAATGAAAAAACAATTCAGATTTTTTTTTTCTTTCTTCAACTTTTTCCAACTTCATTTTAAATCACAATCACTGGTGGCTTTTTTAAATGCTGCCATCCTTTCAGTTGGTTTTCCTTTTTTATTTTCAACAACGTTATAACTTCAGTCATTGTAGACCAGCAAATGTGTAGTTGCTTGGCAACTACACATTTCCTTTGTTTACACTAGGGACAAGCTTATAATACTGCAGTCATGACAGTGAGGAAAATATCAATATACATGTGGGAATAATCATGAAGAGGACATGTAGAAAATGCAAATCATAAGCACACAGTTATATGGAACAGAGATAGAAAAAAAAGGAAAGGTAGAGACAGTAAAACAAATGGATTTGTTGCCCTAAATACAACCAGAGAGATGTTTGACAAAAAAAATAAATAAATAAACAAATAAATACAGCCTGATTTTTCTCATTACAATTAACATCTTTCCATTTGGTTCAGGCAGAAACGCACAGAAAATGGATAAACATGCATCTTCAATTAGCTGGAAATGGCGACTGCATTGGTGCAGCTTCAGTTTTTTTTACATTACTGAAAAGTTATCTGCTAATGTTTCCAGAGATTGAGTAGACATTAATTACTTAAAAAACATTGCTCTTTCTTTTAATTTTAGCATACTGTTATTGCTGACGTTATCCCCTATTGGTACATATATCAGCATTTTTGTTTAATACAATCATAGACATGGTGTCATAAACAAAGAACAGCGTTTTTTGGGGGGGGTTCTTTTTTGTTTTATTTACACACTAATGCGTGTCTCTGTGGACTTTGTATTGTAGTCCCAAATATTTTGTACTCATTGCACATTTTCATTGTGATCTATTTCTGAAGTTTACTACCGACTGTCCTTAAAGTAAATCACCGTAGCAAAACAGAAAACCTTTTTGTGAAAACTTAAAATGTGATATTGTGAAATGTCAGCTGATGTTGTGAGAGTTATGGCAGAAATTTTTCGTCTTTTTTAAAAAAAGTAAATCACAACTAATCACAATGTTCCTATTAAGGATGTATTTATACCAAGGAACATAGATTTTTACCTGTGTAAATTTACTGCAGCTAAATTAAAAGATGAAAGTTATACAACACCAACATACGAAGTGCTCTGTACGATTTATGATCGTACAGAGCAAGATGCTAAAGGATAGGGAGGAAAATAAAGATGATGCATCAGCACAAGAAAATGAAAAGGCAAAAGACTGACTCTCCTATGTAGACAATATCACAATCTCTTTGCTTTGGCAGCTCGACATGTTCTAATCCTTCCCAATCTAATACCATCTTATCACCCACTCTCACTGGTTAGCCATTTTCAAAGAGTTTCTACTTAAGCAATTTTCAGCCAAATTTTCACGTAAGTTGTCGAGAGGCTGCAGGTGAATTCACCTTTTCTGCTGATTAATGCACAAGTGTTAATTTCCTGATCATTAAATGCAAATGATGATGATGAAAAAATGAGAAACTCGAAATGAAAAATGACCAACATTAAAAAAAATAAAGGTGCAATAACTTTGCTGATGGATCCAAAATGATAGCACTGTGTAAGCTCTGTTCATGTGGCGCTGCATTATGAGACAGCTTGGGGCAACATTTTTTTTCTGAGATGCTGTTTTGACACCTGTGCTGAAATCTTCTTTATAAGATTTTGCCAACAATTGGCAAAATCTTGGAAAGATAAAGTCAGAACATTTATCCAATTTGTATTTCACAATAACAGTAGGTAGATAGAATGTATGCTAACTTAAGAGTTTAATAATTAACTGAGAAGAATTAATGAGTAGGTGACCAGGGTGCATACCTTTCCAAATGATCTCTGGAAATAAAAAACAGCTCCACTGTGACTATTCAAGGGTAAGTGGATAATGGACAATGGACGAGAATGAGTTCATACTCCAAAACCCTGAAGCAACCCAGCAAGTAAACATAGATGATAAAAGCAAAGACGACAGTAGCTGAATGAAGAAAGTAGCACATCAATAAAAAAAGGGCTGGAACAAGGAATGGAAGAAAACTAACAATGCATATATGAAGAGCAGGGAATGGAGAAGAGGTAAATTAATAAACGAATGACTAATAGGAGAAATTAATGATATATCAGCCCTAAAACTAAGCCATAAGCTAAACAATGTTCTAATCAAAAAAATTTTAACAAAACTGAACCCATCACAACAATTAAAAAACTCATAACAGATGTTTATATATATATATATATATATATATATATATATATATATATATATATATATATATATATATAATATATATATATATATATATATATATATATATATAAGTAATACCTTAAAGACAAGAAGCAATGAGGCAAACACAATGTGATTAATAAGCTTACAGCTTCATCTGCCATCCTGAACGTGCTGCTAACTAACTACTACAATTTCCATCGCATACTTTTTTTCCCCATGCAGGTTCCACTCTGGAGTATTTACAGCTGTTGAAACAGATTTATTTTTGTTTTTCACATGTTTATGTGCAAATATAAGCAATGTCTGGGCTTGATTATGAAGACACCAAAATAATTGGTATAATCTTCTCCCTTCGACTGTTCTAATAATCTATATTTACTGAAAACACCAAGGACCAAAATTATGCTTAGAGAATAACAAACTCATAACCACATTATATAGATTGAAATTATACATTTGGAAAATGAATGTTGTGAATTCCATCAAAAGATCCATTGTGTTTGAAGATTTACATAAAACTCTAGCACTAGAGTAAAAGCAGTAACATATACTTCAAAAGGTGTAATCGTTTAACTATTTGCATACGATAAAATATACTGAAATATTCAAAAGAAAATAAGGCTCCCAGCAAAGTTGTTTTTGCTCAAATCTAACTTTTCCAACTCCTTTCAGGAGTTACTGAGGCTGAAATTCGATATGTATACACACCAAAATAAAAGTCTAAGACCATCTTTATTTCTGACTGTGATATCAAACAAGACAAGACAATTCTTGTCTTGTCTTAGCAAGACAAGAATTGCTAAGGGAGAGACAGATGAATGTCAGATTTATTTACTGTCTTTAAAATCAGATATTTACTCACAGAATGATTTCTGTATTTAGGGAAATCCTAGACATATTTCAATTGTTTGACACAATGAAAAAGTCAAATGAAATCGATCAAGATATCAGGAGAATTATGGAGCTGCAAAAGTCAAGGAACAATTTCAAGATGCTAGAAGGTGTTGCAAACAGCTGATCAAATAATTATAAGGAAGTATAGAAATGATGGGAATATCCAATCATCATACAGGAAGCATATGGGTTTCAAGTCTCAGGAACTAACTAACATATTCTGTTATGAAATGAACCGATTGAAACCAGAACAAAAAACAAAGGATTTGTGAAGAACTGGCTGAAGATGGTTAAAAGAGAGTCATTATTACCCACAGTGAAATGCAACCTGTACCAACATGGACTGAAAGGGCACTCAGCAAGAAAGAAGGTTTTACTTCAAAAGATACAGACGCAAAGACCTTTGTTTTGGAGACACTGATGAAACTAAAGTGTTTGGCTATTATCACAAATGTTACATCTGGAAGAAAAACAGGGATGCCGGTCACATCCTAACTGTGAAGAATGGGAGTGGCAGCATCATGTTGTGGGGCTATTTTGCTACATGAGGACTTCATAAAACAGTGTAAAAGTATATATAGCATGTTTTTTTTTCTGGGGTAAAATATGATAGTAAAATGACAGTACACTTTGCAAAGAAAAGAAAAAAAGTTTTGGGTTTGGGAATGTAAGTCTGTGCCCCACATACTCAGTCCCAACGAGGATGTTTTTCATATTTAAAGGCCGACTACGTTTCAAATCCTTCTCCTTTTACAGACCCATGTCTGACTTTAGGAGACTAGACAGCGATTCCCACGTGTGTACATCAGAACAGGAAGTCCAATCTCATTAGTAGGATGGAAATCTGGACTGTGCCAGGAGACAGAGAGAGAGAGACAGAAAGACAGAGAGAGAGAGAGAAAGGACAATGACCCGTGATAGAAAGTAACAGCATCCTCACAGATCCGGCTTATGCACAGATTAAAGATTACAATTTCTCCACCTCTGATGGGTGACCACTGCAAAGGTCGTTATTAAACTGATGTAACAAAAAGTCTGTCTCGGTATTAACCATGTCTGACCAAGGCCTTCTGTCTGGAAATACGTGCAAAGTAAATGAATTCATCTCACCAGCACCTCCGATCTGAATCTGCTGTTTGTTTTGGGATCTAAAAACATCCAGCTTACACATGCAAAGGAGACAGAGTCGGAATCAAACAGCTTTGGCAAAATGAATTATTTGCGGGTTTTGTGTTGATTTTAGCTCTTTAGTGGTAATATTACTGTTGTCGATGGGAGACCGCAGCCATTCAGGCTGCGCTGTAATTAATGCATCCCTAATTGCAAGGCGCCTGCGGCTCAGGTGGTTACACCTTTATTTATGGATTCAAGAAAACAAAAGGAAGATAAATCCTGTCGTGTAGAACAACTTACTCTTGAGGGCAGTGATCAGCATATTTCCATCCTTGATGAGCTCCTTGATGAACTTGTTGGTCCGCTCCAGCTCTATTTCATGGTATTTGAGGCGCTCCCTGAAGTCCGGGCTGTCCAGAAAAGAGTCACTGAACTCCAGCGCCGGGAGTCCCATCGTTCCCCCACAGTAACGGCGCCGGCTTTTCCAAACTTTCTAACTCGAGGAATAAACGCTTTATTCCCCCGTTCACATCACGCAGCTCAGATGTGGATGCAAACTTCTCAGAGGTTTTCTAAAAAGCGGTTTTCCTGCCCCACTTCTTCCTTTACTTCCGCTTTGGACTTTCTCTGCTTTTTTTTTTTTTAAACTGCTACCTTTTCTTAGAAATAGTGGTTGCATGACTCCTGCTGGTTAGTTCTAGATATTTAGCAACAGCTGGATCGCCCACCTCCTGCAATAGAGTTTGCAACGTTATTGTTGCTCCTTCCAAGATGAAGATGCGGTAATAATTGTATCTCTTCTAATCAATGTTGCTGCAGGATAAACAAATGCAGAATAGATTAGAACTAATTATATGTGAACTTTACATAAACAGGCAAAACATAAATTATTTGTAACTGTGGCCTGGAAAGGGAAAGGACTTTTAATGTTTAATTAAAACATTTCTTGAATGAAAATACAATGGATCGGTTTGTATGAATAAAACACATCACAAAATCTATAAAAATCATTATGCGCAAATATGCAATTTGATATGTTTGTTCTAATCTTCTAACACAGTCCTTAATGAAATATGAACAAGTCCTGAGCTGATTGAATCTCACTCCCAACATTGTACTCAAGTAAGCTTAGCAATAGCTCAATATACTAGCACATGCACAAAATTTGTCTATATATTTAATTCATTGATTCCATTTCATCTTATTGCCACAATGTAAGACCTGAACAGTAATCCAGGTAGGTTTATGCACAGAAACTGTGCACAGCAATCTGTCAGATTAGAATTAGCAGGGGCTTGAGGAGGGAGATCCGAATTAATACCTTAGTAAATGGACGTAATTAAGCTAAAATATAATTGCAGTCTGGATTTTTCACATCTTCCTGTTGCAGCAGGAGCAGGCTCCAGAAATAATGTGACACTACAATGAGAATTTGTGTAAGCATGAACAAGAGGCTTTGTCACCAATGGCATTAAGTCTTTTGGATGACTCTTTCGACTTATGGTGCTTTACAGCAATGAGGAGACGGGGAAGCGGCTTTATCATCATGAGAGAGAGAAAAAAAACATTTCAATAGAGAGATGAATGTTGTGGCTTTGACTAGAACTAGCACACGCAAATGAAAATGCATTAACAACTTGATGGCTCACAAGAAACAGCATTTCCTCCTTCATTCGGATGGGAGTTCTGCTCACTTATTTTGAAATAACAGATACTTTACACATAGCACGCAGTTATGATAGGAGGCTTAAATTTACTTTTTGAGATGAATCTATAACTATGTAAACTGCACACTTTGATAAACTTATCAGCAATCTTCTAGCATAATTCTCGTTGAATATTGGCCAATCCTCCTTTTCAGGGACTGTCGCAGGAGTTTCTTAGACAGACAGAGGCCCAAAGTCAAATTTCTTTTTAATTATATTTGGTATACACTGCATTGTTATAATGACTGAAGGCAACAGTTACTTGATTGTGGTATATTCATGGAAAATACTTACGATGATAGTTCCCCTTTAAAAGGTAGATCATCGGTAGCAAACCAACCAATTTCTATGAGCTCTGAAGAGGGGCCGGATATCCACTCAGATGTGTGATCTGTTGATGGTGACGAAAATTATATAAAAAACAGTATGTGTACTTTTGACCCCACTGTCATTAGGTAGGTTGAAATTTGATGAAAAGTCAAAGTTATATGTTGCACAATCATCATGCCAAAAAAAAAGAGGCTTCTTTGAAAGTGTAAAATAAATGTGACATTTCTGCTCACAGTGGCTGAACTTTTAAACTAATTTGTCAATTTCAACACTTTTCTTTTTGCTTCTCAAACCTGGTCAACCTGCAGTCGTGGCTTACGTGACACAGCAACCATCACCAGCCCTTAACGCCATCTGAGGAATCAACAACTCTGTGCTCACGCGCTTACAGGAAGGAAATCTCAAGCCTAGTAATGAAACTGAACATAAACCCTGCATGTCTGATTCATTCGGAGGAATAACACTCATCTTGTCCGCCAATAAAACTATATAAAATTTGCATGCGATAGGACAGAACAGGGTGCCCAGTTTGCCTGAGGAATGTCTGATTATTGCACTTGTAATATTGCCGCTGCATACATTATGCACATGACAGGATACAATCGCGGGAAAATAAATTGTTGAGTGATTAGGTGGTTCTTTCTAAACATGAAGCGAAACAGTAGCACATGTCCATCTCTGATTTGCTTCGTAAAAATACGATATGAATTAATTTTAGGTTCATTTAGTGTTTCCAGAGCTCAATTCAGCAACCCAAACTCATTTAGATGTTAATGGTTCACAGTAAATAAAAAAAAAACCTATACTAATTTTCTCGCATAATGATAATATCCATTTGATAGGTTTGTATGTGATGACTCAAAAGAAAGAATCCAGCTGCAATCGATACCTTTTCAATTTCCCTTGCCATTTCCTTCCACTAAACTTTCCACTAGCTAGCTAAGATACAGCCAGCTTCTATATGCAGGCTTGATGCTTGTTTGTGAAGGGTGTCTATGAGTGTCTATAGGACTCCTGAGGCAGTAGTTTTCCCCTTCTAAGCATAAGAAAGTCTGACATGGCCATAACATCACATTTCTGTTAAAAATCCAACGTCCTTACTATTTTACAATCTTCACATTTTCTACAAAAATTAATTTGAGGTTTTTATTAGCTGCGATCATCAAACCTAAATATCTAGATTCTATTCATCTGTCTGAAATGAGTCTGTATTGCGTATGACTTTCACTTTTTAAACTGACCTCATTCAGGTGCAGCTGATTTGAATCTAAAAAAAAAAAAACTGTGCATGGAGTCTAAAATTTTAAGATGATAAAGCAAGACGTCCCCACATTTATATTAGTTATGCAAACATCAGTGATCAGACAGGCAGAGCACAAATCTATGTGAGACTGAATCATTGGAGACCAAACAAGAACGATAAAGAAACCAACTGCCTTGGAGCATACACAAGCACACTGATAAAACACACACTTGTGGTTCTCACACAATCTCATCAACACACACACAGAGACTGAGACTTCTTTAACATACTGTACAAGTGTGGAAAGAAATTAGATGTGAGATGTACATCTTCCCACGTCCTCACTCCTGTTCTCGCTGCATTAAACAGAGCCACTTTGGCCTTGCTTGGTGGAGAGTCAGCTGCTCTCCACCTTTTTTCAAAGGGAAAAAAAAAAATCAGATTTTATAGAAGATATCATTAGTCCATGCAAAAAATGAAAAATAAGCATCGATTGGTCCTGCAATGAGTTATGCACACGTCATGCAGCCTCTGATAAGATTTAGTCACAGTGGGGCAATCAGCCTTTTGCTGAGATGTCTGCTCTGCTTGTGGTGGGAGAACTGAACGGTAGTGGGGGCGTCAGTCCCCAACATGCCCCCTTCAACTCCAGCTAGCATGCTATCATTTTGCAGAAGCAGCCCTCAGGGATGCAGTTTGTTTCACTGACACAGTGAGTACAGAAATGCGATACATTAGCAGAAGCCCTGTTGCTTCGAGTTAATTGCAGCAAGCGCTGTGCAACACTAAACTGGGTTATTGGGTGAAAGATAATGGCTTAGATAGATTATAATAAAGCAGTTTATTCTAAATGCAAAGCTCTCTGAAAGTTGTCTAAATAAGACAACTAATAATTCTCTTATTTAAAATCACTAGCTAAGAATCGACTGGAGCCTCACATATAGAGACAAAGAAGTAATGAGGTTTTAAGCAGAGTTAGGTTATAATTTAATGTCCAAAGTAGTGCTGTCAATCGATTAAAAAGATTAGTCTGATTAATCACACTCAATGCCTTGATTAATAGCAATTAATCACTGAGTTTAATTTGGGAAACTTGAAATGTAAAAATGCAAATTTGCTAAAAAAATGTTTAAGAAATTGTTTTGTCTTACATTTTCTACTCGACATTGTTGAGAGGCTTTTCTCACTTTACCTTTCAAGAAGGTTTAAAAGTTTCAAACATAGTTTAAAAATGTTAAATCGAAACTGGTTGTGCTCCCGTTGAAGGATAATTCATCCCTGCAATAATTAGGCTATACTAGCTTGGTTTTAGCCAAACATCATTGCTGTGTTTTTTTTTTTGGGTCTCCAGCCCAATGTGTGCGGAGGTCCAGTTCTAACTGTGGTGATTTTTAAAGCATTGAGCACATTGCTCTGTCATTCCTCACCGATCTTCTCAGTTGCGTTTGCGACTCTGTTTTGAATGCAGTACAAGACTGTTCAACGCACTGCTGTGAACTGAGTAACCCTCTGTGGGAGAGAGGCTTTTAGGTCAAATAGGTAATACGATTAATCTGCGTTATGTCAAATTAATGCGTTAAACTTTTTCGATTAATCGCATGAGTTAACGGATTAACAATGACAGCCCTAATCCAGAGCTTTAAGAATCTACAAGCTCTGTTTAATCTGTCATCTGAAAATTTATGGCACAAGTGCCAACCTATTAAGACAGGAATGTCCACCTAAACGCACAACCAGAGAAACTGCAGAGATCCACAGCACAGGTGGGAGAATTTGTCCACAAGACAACTAGTCAGTATCATCAGTATCTCCAAAGTCTGATCTTTATGGAAAAAGTTGCTGAATGATTGCGAGAAAGCCTGAAGAAATTACTGAGTGTTGCATGCATTTTATAGAACAGGACAGGAGAGAGACTTTTGGTTCAGTGTTGGATCGTTCATAGAAGTTGTCCCTTGTGATCTCATCAGGGACTTTTCACCCCACCATCAGTACTATGTCGCATCAGTAAGCTGCTAACACTAATTAATTTCACTGCTTCTTCAAATGAATGGTTTGGGCTCCTGAAAAAGATTGTTTCAAAGCAATAGGAAATATAAAACTAGATGGAGTGGCTTGTTTTTGTTTTTTAAATCATAACAGGTTCAGGATCCCACACATTGTTTGGTTTCCACAGCTTTGGCTAAATCATCTGGTAAGTAAAACATCATTTCCATTCAGTCTAATATTGTTATGAAGGAGTTTTGCATTAGTGTTGGTCAGAGTGCGATTTGACCTCAAAAGCTCAGATTTATGAGTGCTCATATCTCTACATATGAACCTGTGCTCTCC